GGCGTTGTGGCGGGCGCCTGTGGTCCCAGCTACTTGGGAGGCGGAGGCAAGAGATTCGCTTGAGCCCAGGAGTTGGAGGTTGCTGTGAGCTGAGATGCCACGACACTCTACCCAGGGGGACAGCTTGAGGCTCTGTCTCAAAAAAAAAAAAAAGAACTGAGGTTTTATGCTACGGAGAAGGGAGATTTGCACTCAGACAGCTGTGAGTAAGGAGTAAAAGTGTGCAGCCTGGGAGTTAGACCAGTAAAGAGGCACTAGTTTAGACAAGAGAGGAAAGGGTCTGTGTTAGGGCCAGACCACCAATGTAATAACACAGGGCCCCACACTTAGAAGGGTCTACCATGTGGTTTAACATTCTTCAGTCACTGTCTTGAAATTCTTGATACTTTTTCAATAAGGGACCCTGGATTTTCATTTTGCACTGGGCCCTACAAATTATGTAGGCAGCCCTGGTTAGGGCAGCAGTGCTAGGAATGGAAAATGGTGATCAGAATTCACAGGCTTTTAAGAGGTCGAAGAGGACTTATTTAGTGGTTCATTGGATGAAGTTAGGAAGACGGAGGAACTGGAATGATTTCCTGTTTTCCAGATGGATGATGGTGTTCTTAATCAATAAGATAGGGAATAAGTGGGGGAGGAGTAAGCTTAGGGAAAAGGGTAAATAATGAATTCAGTTTTATGCCAGCAGGTGTGAGGGATCTGTGGGCTATGTTAGCATCCCAACCTCTCTAACCCCAATTTCTTCCAGCCCCTAGCTCCCTCCTAACATGTGACCCAAGCTTCTGTTTTCTCCACCCACTCTTCTATAGGGCCACTCTCACCCCTTACCCTTTTGAGTTGGATTACCTGAAAAATAACAACTGCAAAACTCCTTGTTGGGTTCCATTTCTGAACCCACGGTGAACCTCCACCCCCAACCTCACAGTGACAGACCTAGGAGGCCCCTATTCCCCTCTCCTTCCTCTTTAACAGTTGTCGTCCCACCTTCCCTTCTCCTTTCTTCTGAAAGACTGGGAAGTGGGCAGAGAGAGGGAAGTGAGCAAAGAAAATGCGAGCAAGCCAGAGTACCTCACATAGATGCTGGGGTTTGGTCTGAGCTTTTTTTTTTTTTTTGAGACAGAGTCTCACTTCATCACTCTTGGTAGAGTGCCATGGCGTCACAGCTCACAGCAACCTCAGACTCCTGGGCTTAAGCGAGTCTCTTGCCTCAGCCTCCCAAGTAGCTGGGACTATAGGCACAGCCACGCACCCGGCCATTTTTAGAGATGGGGTCTCACTCTGGCTCAGGCTGATCTCAAACTCCTGAGCTCAGGCAATTTGCCTGCTTTGGCCTACCAAAATGCTAGGATTACAGGTGTGAGCCACTGCACACACACACACCCCTCAGCCCATCTGAGCATGGTTTGACGTTCCTGCCACTCAGCAAGGCTAGAGAGAAGGAGTCAAGGGATTACTGTCTGCTCTTGGAAGTGTGT